TTTTGAGAAAAAAAAAAAAAAAATTGCTAAAATAATCAGAAAATATTAAAACTTGTACACTTAACTTGCCAAATTGACCCTTTTTCTTTTGTGGTAATTTTGACAAGTTAGTGTACTTTGATGGGTCATCGAAAAATTGCATCTTTTTAAGAAATATGCCAGCTTAGTGAACCGAAAATGAAACTACAAGCCAAGGTTTTATAAATTGATTTCAAGATTGGATTTTTATTTTGTGGGGTGTGTGGTTTTGTACATGATAGTGGCTAAACTAGCTAGTGTTATATACCTACCTGGTGTACCTGGTAGATTTCTTCTCTTCTTGGTGGGGTTCGGGCTCGGGCTCGGGTTCGGGTTAGGTCTGGAGTTAGGGTTTGTTTCGAGCTGATCTTGGTGTGGGAGAATGTTTTTGTTATTGGGTGCTTGAGGATTGGCAAGGGAGAAAATATCACCAGACATCATTTTTTTTTGTAGCAGAAAAAAGTGGTCTTTAATAAGGAAATTTGATAGAATTGAGATTTGAGACTTTTCTTGGTGGTTTTTACACAGCAAGGGAAAAAAGAAGGGAGAAAGAGAACAAAGGCTGCTTTTTGGAAGGTATAGAGAGATTAGAGAGAGATTCTCCCAATACAAACAGATGAGAAGCTAAACATCCTCAGATTGCTCCAAAAACACTAGAAAGAACCCAAAGAACAAAAAAACACAAAACTCACAAGAAATATGTGAGCTNNAAAAGGAGTGGACTTTGAATCCTTAAACACACACAGAAGAAAACAGCAAACTCTTGCTGACCTCTTTCACAAAGAGATCTCTCCACTTGGTGTCTTGTTTGTTTTCAAGAGAAAAACACCAAAAATGAGAATAAATTTTTCACTCTTTTAATTCTCTCTCTCTCTCTCTCTGCAAATGAGCATAGAGACTCCCCTCGAAATTCCTATCTCTTTATCTCAATTTCAAAGTCGGTCAGCCATAGATTTAGCAGGTGGCGGCCCACCATTTATCTCTCTAAAACACACATTCTCTCTCTAGATAAAACTTTATCTGTACGTATGCATTGGACGTATGCTGCTTGTAACAAGAATTTGTAGAGCTGTGTGTCAAAAAAAACGTAATTTTTCGAGCTAAATTCCAATTATCAAGAATCATTTTATTATTTGTTTTGGAATAAAATAAAATATTAATTGCATCTTGGGAATAAGAGTACAATATTTGGATTGAAATATTTACTACATAGGGACATAATAAATATATAAAGTGCACCCATTGTTCTTATGTGTCTGTGTTCGAAAATTGATAGACAAGCATTTATTTAATTTATCTTTTTGAATAAATTTTGGGATAGGAACCAAAGATGTTAATTAAGAAAATCGAAACAGAAAAACAAAAATTAGATCTCATGCTTACTTTACATATTTTTTTTATTGGATAAATATATGTACAAATATGACACCATATTCATGTACACGTATTATTTGGTCTTCTTTGATTTGTTCCGGAAGAAAGGAAGAATTTGAAAAGAAAACTAATATACTACATATTATTAAATTAAATATTATTATTTCAAAAATCAGAATGATTTTTTTATTTCTTAAAGAAAAAGCCCGCTTGATATATGATGGTTTGAGACATAATATTGTAGGAATATGTAGAATAAATTTACTGATATGGGACCAAACCTAATCAATTGCAGTAACAAGAAAACAAAATTTCTCTACTTAATCAAAAGCAGAAAAATATTCTCTACTTAAATGTTGCTCCAAAAAGTTTTTTTTTTTTTTTATATATATTTTATATGTAAAAAAATCTTGCCTACTTTTCTGAAGTTGATTGAACACTTGATTCAGATCCCAAAAGCGAGGTGAAAAAGGTAAGCCCAGCAAGTAAAATACGATGCATGTAAAAAGTGAGGTGACTTTCTATATGTTAGCCCGTGCGCCCCCTGGTACCGAAAAAAAAATTAATAAAAAAATAAAAAAATCATTGCACCATAATTAAAAAGTTTGACTACTTTTCAACACACGGTCACACAGCATAAAATTTTATACTATCATGTGGGTAATTATTTGGAATTTCGTGTTAATTTATTTGTTTTATTTATAATTGAGGTTAAATAAATAAGGAATAAAATAATAATAGTAAATAAAATTGCTGTGTGTGTTTGCAATTCCCGATGAGGTCTTCATCAGCCACCCGTGACACAGTGAGTCTGACTTGTGGGACCCAACCTTGTCTCAGTATTCGTGTGTGTATGTGTAAGAGAAATACAATGTTTAAATGAGTTAGACCAGTTCGAGTTCATGATGCTCGAGTCATTAACGAGTTGAGAATTCCAAAATAACTTTGTTAGAAATCATGTTTCAGAATTATTATTGAAAATATCATTTATATAAAAAATAAAATATATATATATATGTACATATATGTTAGATTAACATTTGCAAACATTATCGAACTCTGAAAAATAGGTATATACTTGTTCGTTTAGCATATGGGCCTAGTTTTTTGTTCTAGTTGGGCTAGAATAATAAAAGAACGAGCTTTTGTCGAAGTCAAACGAGCTTGAACGAGTTTTTATTCGTGATGTTCGGTACGTATTAGCTATATAACACCACATCCAACAATTTCACTTTCAGTTTTATATTAAAAAAAAAATATTCTCTAAACATTCTTTATTATTGAAATAAAAATTATAATATTAAAAGTAGAATATATATATATATATATATATATAGTATTATAAATTAAATATTTTTAATTCAGTGGAAGTTTTCATAATTATTTCATAGTTTTACTAATAATTTAAATATTAAAAATAATTAGAACATTAAAATAAAATTCAACCCACAATACATAGAACTAACTGAGGGTTTTATTCCACACAATTTATGCATAATCTCATTATTTATATATAAATAAAGCTTCAAGGAGATTATATCACGCAGAAAATTCATACATAATCGAAATGTTCATTTTTAAAAGAAAAAAACTAAAACAATGATAGCACAGCCAAAAGCCGCGTCATATATGGCGTTGCTATTGGAATTTCAAATTTATTACAACAAAAATATAACTTGTTTAATATAGTTCATGAAATTGCACTCGGATTTTGATTGTTTAATTCCGCTAACTTTAGCTATTCCAAACTCACTAAAGTTATTGTAATTAAGCTCGAGTTAAACTCATACAAAAGATCAATTACGTGGTTGAACTCATCACTTTTTCAATTGAGTTTAGGTTCAGCTCGAGCACAAATTTTAAAAATTAATGTTCAATTTGTTCTAATAAATTAACATTTTATAATTAAAACCTATAGTTAGTAGCTAGAAACATACAAATGTAATAAATATTATTCAAAAACCATTATTTCTGACAAATGAAATAGATTTATGAATTACATGTAATAGAACTCGGATATGA